GACCCGATTGACAAGCTAGACTCCACCCCTTCACTCTTAATCCTCAAATTGACAAACGGTTATATATCTACCACACTACCATTGAGTCTATGTTGACTCATAGTGATCTTATGTATACATAGATACTATAAAATATTATATTTAGTATTATAGACATGACATGTAGGTAGACACAATATTCATAAAAATTGTGTGTATGTGTGTTTGAAGCTGACATGCTAATGACTTGATGACAGCTAATAACAGCCAAGGAAGTAAATTAAAGCAAAATTGAATAGCAAACTGGAGAACGTATATTATTAGACATCAGTCATATATTATACTTAAAATACATAAAACGTTCCACATGTAAAATCGTGTATGAAACTAGGATTATAGTGTCAGTTCTTCTAGACCAGGGGTGGGGAACCTTTTTCTGCAAAGGGCCATTTAGGTATAACATCATTCCCGGGCCATTCTGATGAAGCAGTCAATTAACTCACCCTTTTGTGATAGTTGGACCTGCTTCTCTTTGGTGGGCATGTGATGTTACCTGGTATTGGTGCTTTCGAAGGCCTTATATGCCCCACAGGTAACATTCCCCACCCTGGGGCTGGGCCTGTACACCTGTATGATCATGCAAGGCAGGAAACTTTACCACAGAGTCACGTGTTTTTAACATTTAAATTTCAACTGTGAGCTCTCATGTAGTAGCTGATGACTTTGGAGCTCTTGGATCAAGGCCTCCGTCTTTCCTTGTATTTCTCCCTTCTTCCCACCACCCTCAGTTGTAGAGGGCTCGGCACGTTTTGGCTCAGCTTGCACTCGGTGTTGTCCCATTGGTGGAAGGAATAGCATGGGACCAAGAAAGTCTTTTTTGTTTCAGCTTTGCTCGCTGTTAACATGTCCCAAATAAACGTGTTCTTGAATTGCTGTACCTTTACCTCTGAAAGCCTGGAAATCTGTAATCTCAGATTTGGTGCCAAGAGAAAGAATTCAAAAGAACAACTTCAGCCATCTTAAAAATCACAAGACTTGGCCACCTGTCAAACCCAAGAAAAATGATTCGACCTCATTAGTGATTGGGAAGTAAACGGAAAGCATGTCAGATATTTGCTAATAAATTGGAAGTTTCTAATAAAATTGATTTTTCTAATAAGTTGGAATCTAGCAGAACAAAAGATGGGGTGGTGTTTAGAACGGGCTCAACTTCAACCAAGCTGATGGGAGGAGGAGGAGGATGTTAAGGTGCCGTCGGGTCAGTGCTGACGCAGCGACCCTTTGTGCAACCGAAGGAAACAGCCCAGTCCTCTGCTGCCCTCTCCAGTGTGCATGGGAGGGTCAATAGGTATAGACCAGTTTACACAGGTGTAAAGCACTTTCACGTTACCAAGTACCATCGTGCCTCGTGGCACTGTGGATTGAGCATTGGTCTGCCAACGGAAAAGTCAGAAGTCTGAGCCCACAGCTGTTCCTCAGGGAGAAAACGTGGCAACCTGCTTCCATAAACATCTGCAGCCTCAGAAGCAATTCGCTGGAAACCCCATGGAGCATTTCCACTCCGGTGTAGAGAGTCTCTCTAAGGCAGAACGAAAGCGGAAGCAGCTGCTCAGGTGATGGCATGTTTAAGCACTCAGATACTAACTGAAAGGTTAGCGGTTCACACCCACCCGGTGGCTCCATGGAACAAGACCTAGTCTGGCAGTCAGCGCCTCTAAAGATACAATCAACTAATGGACCACACAAATACCAGTCCCCATAACCGAGACCAGAAGAACTAGGTGGCTATTACTGCCAACTGCTCTGAAAAGGTTCATTGCAAACAAACAACCCCCCCACCAGTACACAGTCCTGCAGTAACAGTGATATAGGAGTGTAGCATCAGTAGACACACCAGTTAACCAAATGTGGAGGGAGGGTGGGGGTATACTTATGCATACATATAGGTATGACAGAGGATATTCATACATGTACCTTATACAGCCATGAATATGATGGTGTATCATAGGGGGGAACTAACTCTACAGGGCAGTTCTATGGGGTCATATAGGGTCCCTATCAGTCAAAAAATTCGGTGGCAGGAGGTTTGCCTTGGGTTTTGTTTGATGTCTCCCCCCCCACCACCCCCCGTTTGTTTTTTTTTAAATGTCTTTTTGGAGTTTTGCTCAAGAGAATAATCAGAAATAGGCATTAACCGAATGGTGACTTCAGAAGCTTGGAAACAAAATGTCCAGTGGAAGGCGATTGATTAAATAAAGTATGAAAATGAATGCAGTGGGGCTTTCTTGTCACTATTTTTAGCAAAATATTTGGAACAATAATGGTGCAGAAAAATATAAGTTAATACAAATTGCAAAAATCAGCACGAACTTAGGATGAAATATATTTACACGTACACTGTGTATGAGAGAATGACCACTGGAAATGCATCAGAATAAAACATCTGTAGGAGAAAAATGGGTTGGCTCTTTTTAAAAAGTTCTTCTTTGTACTTTTCTTCTGTATGAGGAAGCTTTAAAAAGTTTGTGGGAAATGGAACTGGAAGATAGTGTCACTTCCCTTGAACTTTTTGGAGCCATGCATACTTTCCAAACTGTTAGGGGGAAATTCCTTGTAAGCAGAAGAAAAGCTGCAGCGTTCGAATGCCTTGTGCTGTTACAGCCATGTAGAAACAAGCAGGGAAAACTTCTATTGGGAATGGCAGCAGAAGGGTCTGTGACTTTTGGAAGGATGTTGGAAGTTGGGTGTGTTTTTTTTTAAATTCACTTTCTTCAGTGTGCTTCTGTTAGGGATAGAGCTTCTACTGGGAAAGTCCGTACAGGATAAATGTATATAATGCTTTAGAAATCTACCCTTGAATAGAAGCTGTGATTTCCAAACATTCTCTTTGTGGTTCCCCTTGAGGTTGATGAGGACTGTGAACAGCAGTGATAGATAATAGAAATTTTCTTTACTCCTACAGATATTCCTGAAATTCCAGAAAGCATCTCATTCTGTAAAGCACTTCAGATAGCTGACTTCAGCGGAAACCCACTGAATAGGTAACTTTACTGCTTGTTAATTGATTTTTTTTTTTTTCTTTTCTGTTGTCATTAGATGCTATTGTCAGTTCCAACCCATAGAGACCCTGTGCACAACAGAGGGAGACCCTGCCCGGTCCCGGGCACCTTGTTCTTCTCTCTGAGCCCACTGTCGACGTCACTGCGTCCGTCCATCTTGTCAGGGGCCCTTCACCTTCCCGAGCGTGGCCTCCTTCTCGAAGGGCTGGTCTCTTCTGAAAACATAACCCACGTCAGTTTGTGAGAGCTAAGCCAAGCGCACAACTAGATTTCCCATCTTGGGAAGGACTTAAGTGGACCGGTTGGAAATTTTTGTCTCTTCACCAAGGGCTGTGGGCTTTCACAGATCATTATAAATAGCATTGTGCCAGATGTTGACCGTGAAAAGCACATAGTGCTGTTGCTAGAAACCCTGCGATGATGTGGTAGAAGACTAGGGAGTGTGCACAAAGTGACGTGTTTCTGAAGCAATGTGGCAAATCAGTGTGTGAGTCCTTTGTTGATCCATCCTGCCTCGTGGAGTCTGCAAGAGAGGACAGATTTTTAAAAAAAATAATCATTGTATTGAGGGCTCTTACAGCTCTCATCACAACCCATCCATCCATCCATTGTGTCAAGCACATTTGTACATAGGTTGCCATCATCATTCTCAAAACATTTTCTTTCTGCTTGAGCCCTTGATACCAGCTCATTTTCCC